TATCCTGGCGACGGGCCCAACCATATGCAGTTGTGGGTACCGCAGTTGTGAATATTTTCTTCGGTGGAGCTCCCTATGGGGCCACGAAGCGCTGCACTGGGTGGGGGGGGGCGCATGCGGGCAGTAGAACTGGGGCCGTCGGGCGAACTCCCTATGGGGCCACGAAACGCCGTACTGGGTGGGTTGAAAATGCCAAATTTGGTGTGTGGGACGCATGCGGGCGGTCCCACTGGTGGCTTCGGTGGAGCTCCCTAGAGTGGCCACGAAACTTAGGAGGGGTGTGCCACATCTGGTGTCCAGGACGCACGCGGACGGTCCCACTGGTGGCTTCGGTGGAGCTCCCTATGCGGCCACGAAGCGTTGCACTGGGTGGGGGGGAACGCATGCGGGCGGTAGAACTGGGGCCGTCGGGCGAACTCCCTATGGGGCCACGAAACGCCGTACTGGGTGGGGAGAAAATGCAAAACCTGGTGTGTGGGACGCATGCGGTCGGTCCCAGTGGTGGCTTCGGTGGAGTTCGAGCTCCCTATGGGGCCACGAAACGTATGAGGGGTGTGCCAAAGTGGGTTTCCGAGACGCATGCGGACGGGCTCACTGGGGGTTTCGGTGGAGCTCTCTACGGGGTCACGAAACGCCGTAGAGGGTGGTGTGAAAATACCAAAATTGTGTTTCAGGGACGCATGCGGACAGTCCTACTGGGGGCTTCGGTGGGGTTCTCAATGGGGCCACGAAACGCCGTACTAGGTGGGGTGAATATGCCAAATTAGACTTACGGGACGCACGCGGACAGTCTTTCTATGGGGCTTTCTATGGGGCCACGAAGCGCTGTACGGGGGGGGGACGCATGCAGAAGGTAGCACTGGGACCTTCGGTGGGGCTCCCTATGGGGCCACGAAGCGCTGTACTGGATGCGGGGGACGCATGCGGACGGTAGCACTGGGACCTTCGGCGGGGCCCCCTGCGGGGCCACGGAAAGCTGTACTGGGCGTGGGAGACGCACGCGGACGGTAGCACTGGGACCTTCGGTGGGGCTCCCTATGTGACCACGAAGCGCTGTATTGGGTGGGGGGGACGCATGCAGACGTTAGCACTGGGACCTTCGGTGGGGCTCCCTATGGGGCCACGAAGCGCCGTACTGGGTGGGGGGGGCGCATGCGTACGGTAGCATTGGGACCTTCGGTGGCCCCCCTGTGGGGCCACGAAACGCTGTACTGGGTGGGGGGGGACGCATGCGGACGGTAGCATTGAGACTTTTGGTGGGGCTACCTACAGGGCCACGAAAACGCTGTACTGGGTGGGGGGGACGCATGCGGACGGTAGCACTGGGACCTTCGGTGGGGCTCCCTGCGGGGCCACGAAACGCTGTACTGGGGCGCATGGGGACCATGGGGCCACGAAACGCTGTACTGGGTGGGGGACGCATGCGGACGGTAGCACTGGGACCTTCGGTTGGGTTCCCTATGGGGCCACGAAACGCCGTACTGGGTGGGGGGGACGCATGCGGACGGTAGCATTGTGACCTTCTGTGGGCCCCCCTGTGGGGCCACGAAACGCTGTACTGGGTGGGGGGGACGCATGCGGACGGTAGCATTGTGACCTTCGGTGGGCCCCCCTGTGGGGCCACGAAACGCTGTACTGGGTGGGGGGGGACGCATGCGGACGGTAGCAGTGGGACCTTCGGTGGGGCCTCCTTATGGTGGCCACGAAGCGCCGTTGCCCGTACGGGTGGGGGGACGTGAGCGGAACGTTTTAGCCATAGGGACCTTCGGTGGGCTCCCTGTGAGGGCCACGAAACGCTGTCCTGGGGGGGGGGGGGACGCATGCGAACTGCGCCACTGGGACCTTCGGTGGAGCTCTCTATGGGGCCACGAAACGCTGTACTGGGTGTGGGGAGGACGCATGCGAACTGCGCCACTGGGACCTTCGGTGGAGCTCCCTATGGGGCCACGAAACGCTGCCCTGGGTGGGGGGGAACGCATGCGAACTGCGCCACTGGGGCCTTCGGTGGAGCTCCCTATGGGGCCACGAAGGCTGTACTGGAGCGTGGGGGGATCGCATGCGGTACGTAGGCACTGGGACCTCGGTGGGGTGGCATTCCCATGGGGCCACGACGAAACGCCGTACTGGGTGGGGGGGACGCATCGGAACGGTAGCATTGCGATCATTCTTCAAGCGGTGGGCCCCCCCTGTGGGCCCGAAACGACTGTACGGGGTGCGGGGGGGACGCATGCGGACGGTAGCATGATGACCTTCGGTGGGGCTAACTATAGGGCCACGAAACGCTGGGGGGCCACGAAACGCTGTACTGGGCGTGGGGGACGGGGGGGGACGGTACGCATGGGACCTTCGGCGGGGGTCCCCTGGGGCCACGAAACGCCGTACTGTTTGGGGGGGGGGGGGCATCGGACGGTAGCATTGGGACCTTCGGTGGGGCTCCTTATGGGGCCACGAAGCGCTGTACTGGGCGTGGGGGACGCATGCGGACGGTAGCACTGGGACCTTCGGCGGGGGTCCCCATGGGGCCACGAAACGCCGTACTGTTTGGGGGGGGGGGGGCGCATGCGGACGGTAGCATTGGGACCTTCGGTGGGGCTCCTTATGGGGCCACGAAACGTGTGAGGGGTATGCTGAAATTGATGATGATGACGATGATGATGATGATGATGATGATGATGATGATGATGATGATGATGATGATGATGATGATGATGATGATGATGCTGATGCTGATGCTGATGCTGATGCTGATGATGATGATGATGATGACGATGATGATGATGATGATGATAATGATAGTGATGATGATGATGATGATGATGATGCTGATGCTGATGCTGATGCTGATGCTGATGCTGCTGATGCTGATGCTGATGATGATGATGCTGCTGCTGCTGATGATAATAATCGTGACGATGATGATGATGATGATGATGATGATGATGATGATGATGATGATGATGATGATGATGATGATGATGATGATGATGATGATGATGATGATGATGATGGTGATGGTGATGGTGATGGTGATGGTGATGGTGATGGTGATGGTGATGGTGATAGTGATGGTGATGGTGATGGTGATGGTGATGGTGATGGTGATGGAGGAGGGAGAAGGGGGAGGAGGAGAGGAGAGGAGGAGGAGGAGGAGGAGGAGGAGGAGGAGGAGGAGGAGGAGAACGCGGGGCGACGTCTCTTCAAAACGAGGACCCAACACCACAGGTTGGTTGGGAAAAAGTTCGAATCGCCCGAAGTGGTGTCCTATCGGTGTCGCTGCTGTGTCTTCCAGCGACGGGGAGTGCCAAGAGACTCTCCCAGCGAGCAGCCGGAGCAGACCAGCTGGCCCAGGCTTCGTCGGCTGAATTTGCTCTCTGGTGGGAGAGTCGGACCGACCGGCCGGGGCGCACCAGGATCGGAACCGACCGCCTGGCGGCCACGCGCAGGGGTGACCCTCCGCGGGAGTGCCCTGCTCGGCGACTACACAAAAGGTATGGCTACGGCGGGGTGTGGTGTGCGATCGGAACCGTTGGGGCACGACGCTGTCCCCGTCTCGCCTCGGGGCGCGGGAGAACTCTGTCGAGGTCCCCGCGCGCCCCCCGGGGGTGCTCCCCAGGATGTTCCCTGGGGTGCCGGTTGCAAACCACACCCTTTGCGCAAAGCACACCCTTTGGAGTCGACGACCTGTCGCGTGCGGTGCGGCGGGGCCACACTCGAGCACGCGTGCCGCGGCGGTCGCCTCGGACGCCTCGATCGGCAGGCCGCCCACCAAAGGTCGCTCTCTCCCAGGGGCACGGCACTCGCATGCCACGATCGGCAAGCCGCCCAGCAAAGTGCGCTCCTTTCCTATTGTGGGGCACTCCTGCGCGTGACCGGGTCTGGTTGCTGCTGCACGCCCGGGCGTTGCAGGTTGCGCCTTTTTGTTTTGTTATTCGGGGGGGCATGTGTATGTATCCAGCCTGCGGCAAACCTTGCCACCGCACCAGCGCAGCCGCGCAGCGTGAAGGAGGTTGGGTCAAGACGCATCTTGGAGTTGCTCTGGGGTCCTTCAACGGCCTCTCGGAGCCTGTTAGGTCCGTTTGGGAAGCAAGTGGTGGTCTGTAGGGGGACCTCTGCGAGGTCTCCTGGGGGTCTCTTGGCCACTCGTGGGCGTCTTGGGGTCCCTCTGGAGGCCTCTTGGAGGCATGTTGAGGATCTTGGAGGCAATCCCGTATGGAAATGCTGGCAGGGCCAGCTCGATGCCCCCCTCTTGTGCCCATCTTGGGGCCTTCTTGGGGGCCTCTTGGGCCGTTTGGGGGGGCACCCTAGAACGGCTTGGAGCCTCCCTGTTGGGCTCTCTTGGGGCCCTCTTGGGAACCTTTTGGGCCGTCCCGGGCTTTCGGAAGCCAGGGGCCAGTCTGTTTAAATTTGCCACGGCCCTGAGGAGCAAACGAAGCATGTATCTTTGCATCGATGACCTCTCGACCGTCCTCTTGAAGCCATCTTGGACTGTCTTCAGGGCCTTTGAGGCCGTCTTGGGGCCGTCTTGGAACCCTCCTGGAGCGCCTGGAGTCCTTGGACATTCTTGGGACCGCCTTGGAGGTCTTTTTGGCCGTCTTGGGGCGAGCTGGGTTGTCTTGAGGCGTTGTGGCGTTTGTGCTGGCTGTCTTGGGGCGTTGTTTGGCTGTTTGGGCTGATTGTGGCTGTTTTCTTTTCTGGGTGGGTTGTGTGTTGGGTGGTTTTGCTGCTCTGGGCTGTGCTGACCCTGTCGATCGGAGCCTCTCCTCGGCCATGCCCCAAACAGGAATTCAGCATGGGAGATTGCCAGAATCGGTTCCGGCGGCGGTGTCGCGGGGGGCGTGCGGCCCGTGGACGGGGCTGGTCTTAGTGAACATGTACAGCTTTACCAGGCAGCAGAGGAGCCTTCTGACACGCCCCAGCGTGCTCGAGGCACAGTGGCGGAGGCACGCGTCGCAGAGTCGGGGCCGAGCCGTGGGTCAGCGGGCCGGGGCGTGGTCCCTGAGGCAAAGAGGCCCTCGACCTGATGAAGTGCTGCCTGCAGTTCAACCCCAACAAGAGGATATCCGCGAAGGCGCCGCCATCCGCGAGGGGGGGGGCGAGGGCCTGCAGAAGGGCTCCTCCTGCGGGGCGCGGAGAGGGGGGCGGAGACTCGAGGAGCGGCCCCGTCCTCTTGTCCCCGTCCCTTTCCGCACTCTGCAGAAGGGCACTCCTCTCAGTCCCCTCATCCTCTTGTGTTCGTCCCTCTCCTCTGCGACCCCCTCTCACTCCCTATCACCCCCCCCCCTCCCCCCTCTCCGACAGGGAGGAGGGTCAAGCGATAGGCAGCAGGCGCGGGCGGAGCCTGCCGTACACACAGGGGCAACAGTCTGCAGCTGTGTGTACGATTCGAGCCAGTATGCTCGCTGGCAGTCCGTCGTTGCTTTGCCGAGAGCGAGTGCGTCACACACAGATGTGTGTATGCAGTGATGCTTGGCCTGGGCATCGGTAATGTTGTATTCGATCGCCTTCAGAAGGCAGGCACGCGAATGCTTGCTTCGTTTTGGAATCAACTTGTGCCGCTCTTCGGGTCGCTCCGGAGCTCGCGTAAGATAGCTTCTCTCGCGAAGAGGGTCCAGGCAAGCATGGGTACTCAGCATCGTTCTCTTTGTCAACTTTCCCAGCCTCATCGTCCTTATCCTCCTCATCCCCCTTAGGTCCTCGTACTCATCAGCCTGAAGTCCTCCACGTCGTCTTTATTCTCCCTCACGCCTGCCTCTGTCATCCCCCTTCTCCCTCCTCCTTCTCTCGTACTGCTGGGAGGAAGACGAGAGGAGGAGGAAGAGGAGGAGGAGGAAACGAGGATCCTGCCTGCCTCCTTTTTCATATTTCTTCCCTCCGTCCCTCCTACTTCTCCCCCCTCCCTCCGCTGGAAATCCAAACCGTGCAAAGTACTTCAGCGTTTGTTTCTGTCCAAGATGTTCGCAGCCTTGCTGCACAACTGTATCCTGAGCCGTCGTGCCGAAGACCGTTGGTGGCATGCAGAATGTGAAATTGCAAGTGAGGCCTATTCTCGGGATGCATTTCAAGGCCGCCACCCATACATGACATCTGAGAAAGCCTTGAGTGTGTCACGGCCAGATAGTGCCAAAGTGTGATGTTGAATCGGGTACAGTGCGTGAGACACGTGGACAGATAATTGCACGTGTCATTGGTTGGGCAGGATGGGCTCCGTCATCCTTATGTCGTGCAGTTCCACAACCCTGAAGACGAGTGGGAATGCGACCGTGTGATCAAGAGGGGAAGCGGGTAGGCGACGCTTTGTTGTTGGCACGGGTTCTCTTAGTGGTATGCTGCCTATGCTTGGTTTCAGTCTCTTTGCGAGCCTCCCAAGCGAGACACACATGTTAGATGATATGAGTCGATACGAGAGCACATGGTGAAGGCACCGTGCAATCAATAGGGGGAAGAACAAATCTGTCAGGGTTGGTACTGGTAGCTCAGCAGAGACGTTGAAACGGGTGTGAACTACACGATCTACAAGATGGGGTATGTGAAACGAGCGGGAATTACACATGGTGTGTATATGAGGTCGAGTGTTGGTAATCCAAGATCGGGCACACTGATGTTCGATTGCTCATGGTTTATGCAGCAACCCAGACGGACGAGGGGACCAGGGAGGAGGGAGGCGGAGAGGGCGGATGCTTCTGGAGGTGGAGGTGGACGAACAAATGCAATTTGAAAGTTGATAAGGGGGAGGATTCCGATCGACGACAACACCAAACTGACCGTGCAAGACTACCGCGAGCGCTTGTACGCCGACGTCCTCAGGTTTGTGGTCCAACTTGCGTCGTGGTCGTTACGGCCGTTGAGGAGGAGGAGGAGAGAGAGGCGGTGGTTGAAGCTCAAGCCACCCCGGAGTATCACTCATTCTCTTCACAAGCTCATTCGTTCCCGTGCTTTGTTGCAGGGTTCAGCATTCGATTGACGTCGCTGTATGCGGCGTGTGTAGCTCGCTTGTCCAGCCATCTAGAGGTCAATCTATCTCTGGGATCGTCGCGCGCATGCGGGGCAGAGGCAAGGCCCTTACGGTATGTATTAAATGTACACATCGACCTACAAGAACATACATGTACATCATTATTCTCATACGCACCTCTCCGAGGGAGTAGAGCTCAGAGGCGATGAATTGAAGGCCGCGCCGCGTCCGCGATTTTTCTGGCCGTTTCGCTCGGGACACCCTCGAAATTTTGAAAATCGGTGGCACCCACACAGATCGTGACGTCAGGGTCCAAAAAAACACATGGGAATTTCAACATTCTAACATAAAACCTTCAAAAGTACAATGTAATTTCAATGAGTTTGACCCCGATTCTCAAAGAATGGCGGTTTTGCCTGAGACATCCTCCGAAAATCGAGCCCCGACGTACCTTCTGGTACCCCAGACCCCGCCTCGGAGCTTCCTAGGGGCCTCCTGGAACCTCCTGGGACCCTCTGTGGCCTCCTTGGGCCTGCGGTCTCTTGGCCGGGCATCCTGGAGCCTCTTGCGGCCTCCGTGGACATCCTCGCAACTTCGAGCCCAGACGTACTCTCCTTCGGTCTCCTGGAGCCTCTTGCGGCCTCCTGGACGGGTCTCCTGAGGCCTCCATGGACATCCTCGCAACCTCGATCCCAGACGACCCCTCCTGGGGCCTCCTGGAATATTTTCCGGCATCCTGGTCGGGCCTCCTGAGGTTTCCTGGGGGCCCGCGGCACACAGACATAGCAAGATGTGGCAAAAACCCGTTTGCGCTCGAGTGCAACCCCGCTTTTGCACTTCACTCCCAGCAGCTATCCTCCTCCTCTTCTCGTCCTTCTCCTTCCCTCCACATCCTGTGAAAGAAATCGGCTGGTGGGAATCGTGCTTACACTTCTCTTGTTAATCGCTTCGCTCACTCTGGCAGCCCATCTTGCATCACTGGTGCTGTATGTTCGTGTGCGTGTGGCGAGCGAGAAGGATAAGGAGGAGCAGGTGGAGGAAGAGGGGAGGATGAGGATGAGGAGGAGGCCTCTCGATGGCTTCGAGGAGGAGGCCTTTCGATTGCTTCCTCGTGCATTTCGGGGCCAAACGTCGATCCTCCTGCTCGATCCCCAATCCTTTGGGGGTGCTCTTCCTCGATCTTAGATTCTTCTGCGTTCACCTCCTGCCTCTTCCCCTTCTCTTAGGCACGCCCTGGCGGCGCCGCGCCAGCTTCCCATTCTCCATCTCCCGATCCCGCCGTCATGGTGTCTTCCTGCTCCAAACGACCTTTCATTGTTTGCATTAGCCTGGGCACATGTGCCACTTGTATACATATATCTATGTATATAGGTGTGTGCACTTGTGTGTGTGCGCGTTCGCATGCACCTTTTCGAGGAAAAGTCGGTGCATGCACATATATGCATGTCTGTATGCGTGTAAGTAGGTATGCATGTGTGTCTGTCTGTCTGTCTGCCTGCCTGTCGGCCTGTCTATCTGTCTGTCTGTACGTATGCCTGTCTGTCAGTCTGTCAGTCTGCCTGTCTGTCTGTACGTATGCATGTATGAATGCATGTATGGATGTACATATATGTGTGCGAGTACATTTAGCATGTACATGCAAATGTTTAGTATATGTATAGCTTCCCACGCGGGCACGGATAATGTTCCCACATTCCAAGGGACGGTGAGGCGGGGGGAGAGGCAACGACGGGCCCAATTGGTGCGTATACAGGCGGCTTTCGGTTGCTCTCGGTGTCTCTGCGCAGAACACGGTGAGGTTTCCGTGTTATACTTTCAGGCCGGATATGACACGCGCCCGAGGATATAGAGAAAACCTCAGCGTTATGGGAAGGGATGGGAAGGAGGTATTGCATGACAGATGTATCGCGAGTGCGCCTAGCTTGTCTACGCCCCTTCTGCCCGCCCGCCTTACTCCCCCTCCCCCTCCCCATACCCTCCCACCCTTTCCCCTCGTGCCTCCCCTCCCCTCGCCCATGGCCCCCCCCCCTTCGCTTCGAGGAGAGAGGATAAGGAAGAGAGGAGGAGGAGGAGGAGGAGGAGGAGGAGGAGGAGGAGGAGGAGGAGGAGAACATCCAAAGGGGAGGAGGAGGAGGAGGAGGAGGAGGAGGACGAGGAGTGAGCCAAAGGAGGAGGAGGAGCAGCAGCAGCAGCAGCAGCAGGTGGAGGTGGAGAACCGGGAAGGGAGGAGGAATGGGAAGAGGAGGAGGAGGAGGAGGAGGAGGAGGAGCAGGGAAGGGAGGAGGATCAGCATCAGAACAAGGAGGACATGTAGGTGGAGGGATGGAGGAGGAGGAGAGGAGGAGGAGAGGAGGAGGAGGAGGAGGAGGTGGAGGAGCGGGGAGAGGATGACGAGATGGAGGAGGAGGAGGAGGAGGAGGAGGAGGAGGAGGAGGAGGAAGTGGAGGCCGAGGAGGAGCAGGAAATATGGATGCGGAGAAGCAGAAGGAGGCGAAAGAGGAGGAGGATGAGGAGTAGGAGGAGGAGGGAGGAGTAGGGCGAGGACGAGAAGGACCGCCCCAGCCACCCGCCGCTGGGGTGCGCCCCGCAGGAAGAAGAAAGAGCAGCGCCGGTCCCACCGCAGGCGGCCCCGGCCCGAATGGGGGGGGGCGGCGCACGCGGCGGCGGCGGCGGCGACGGCGGCGGCGGCGGCGACGCGACGACGACGGCGACGACGACGACGGCGGCGGCAGCGGCGGCGGCAGCTGCGACGACGACGACGATGACGACGACATTGAGGGGGAAGGGAGAACCCTGAGCTTTTCGCGTCGTGGGGAAAATTACAAGGAAGGGTTTTCCTGTGCTTTGGGCCTCCAGGGCCCCTCGCCAGGCCCAAGGGCCGTGAAACAGACACAGCTCGGGAATCGAGAGGCCGGTCTCCGGGGAGCCACGCTGCGAAAAAGCCACGACGTCGGAGGTCCTGGAGGGGGAGGTGGAGGAGGTGAGGTGGAAGGAGAGGGCAAGGGAGGGGGCGAAGGAGTCCGAAGGAGGGGGGGCGAGGGGAGGAAGGGAAGGAGGGAGAGGGGGGGTGTCGGGCGGAGCTAGGACAGGGGTAAGTCGTTCCAGAGCGTTCTGGAAGGCTCTCAGAGCGTTCCGGAACGCTCTGAGCAGGCCGCGGCGCCCTATACATCTTCCAGTACCGCCAGATCTCAGAGATCCCCGATTTATCCTTACGTCGGGCATGTCCCTCTACAGGAGGAATATTCAAGAATAGTCAAAAATATGTATTGGACGACTGTTTGTGTTCTTTTGATTTGTCTTGGCCATTTTGACTCATTTTCAGTTGTCTTCCAAAACCCGCCCGTAGGAGGACAGGCCCCACCTAAATTTATCCCTGTCTGATTTTGTCCTTGTCCTGGCTTCGTCTCAGAGGCGGGGGATGGGGAGGAGGGGGGGTGGGAAGCTGCGCCGCGTCGCCCCGACACCTCCAGGGTGGCGGGGGCCCTGGGGTCGTGGCTGTACGCACACGGCGATCCCAAGGAGCACGAGGCCTTGTCGAAAAATCTACAGCGTGAGTATCCTCAGATCTGATAGGCTCGTGGGCAGCAGACGAGGCCCCTCAAGGAGCTGAAGGAAGTCCTTCTCGTGCAGGTGGCCTAACCCCATGTGCACCTCCGGCTAGCTGCACTGGACCCTCTGCTTCAGAAAGATGACCTTCGGCCTGAGGGCCTTGGCCACCGCGCTGAACCGCCAGGCATCCTGGGGGATCGATTCTTCGAGGCACGGACCGCCGGACCCCTCGACCCCTTCCCCGTGGGCCGGCGTCTCACGGTCGCTGGTGCAGCTCGCACGCGTGCTAGACGATGTCGACTCCGAGATATAACGACGTCATTGAGCTCAGGAGGGACCCCGAGGTCTGGCGTTTCATGTTGGCATTGAGTCTTTTCTGGATTTCCTGTTGTCCAGGATCGAGGAAGGAAAGCATGCACACACAGAAGTGTTCGACGGTCCGCACATATTCCTTAGATCTGCGCTGGACCCCCCTCCCTGGCTCCGCGGCGCCGGAGGCGCCGCCAGGGGGCTCCAGGCCAGATCTAAGGCATATGTGCGGATCTTCGGAAGTGTATGTTTGTTCCGATGTCTGTTTATGTCGACTTTAGGGTCTGGTCAGGTTAGGGATGTGCCACGTTTTTGTGGGGCGGGGGGGGGGGCTTGTAACAGCAGCGGCCTGCAAAGGTTTCAAAGGAAGCAATCGTCTCCATGTTTTCGGGCCGCTGGATGCCTTGGATGGGGTTCATCCGATCCGGGAGCTGGCAAAACACAGCGGGCGGGTTTTGCCCAAATTCGGGCTCCCCTCGTGGTCGATCTGGCTCGAGTGGTCCGATAGAACGATCATCCGAGAGTTCTGGTCGTGATGATTGTGCGACTCGTCATGAGTGTTTACAGACCCGGATTCCCTAGGACCCATTTTATCATGACAAGTTGTCACTGGACCTGGACCCGCGAGGACGTCAGCGTCAGGAGTCAGGGGCTGAGGAGCGAGGAAGAGAAAGAAGGATAATGAGGAGGAGGAGGAGAAGGAGGAGGAGAAGGAGGAGGAGGAGGAGGAGGAGGAGGAGCTCTCGCCCAGAGGGAGAAGGAGGAAGCAGGGCAGAGTTGCGTAACAACTCATGCCCGAGGCCACGAGCCACGAGGAGGAGGAGGAGGAAGAGGAGGAGGAGGAATCATGCCGTAACGGACCGAGGAACCGATGAGGAGGAGGTACAGGAGAAGGAGGAGGAGGAGGAGGGAGCAGGAGCAGGAGGAGCAGGAGGAGGAGGAGGAGGAGGAGGAGGAGGAGGAGAGGGAGGAGGAGGCGGAGGGGGGAGGGGAGAGAAGGAGGAGGAGGGGGAGGAGGAGGAGGAGGAGGAGGAGGAGGAGAGGAGGAGGAGGAAGGAGGAGGAGGAGGAGGAGGAGGACGAGGAGAGGAGGAGGAGGAGGCGGAGGGGTAGGGAGGAGGAGGAGGAGAAGGAGAGGGGAGGAGGAGGAGGAGGAGAAGAGGAGGAGGAGGAGGAGGAGGGCTTGGATGGAGACGAGGAGGAGGAGGAGGACGAGAAGGGTAAGGATGAGGAGGTGAGCTGAGCACTTCGGACGACAGAGACAAGACAGCATGGAAAGGCCAGGATGAGGCCCGACACTCAAGGGGGGGGCAGAATCCCAAGACACTCCCACGTCAGCCTGTCCTATCTCACGCGCGGCGCAGGTCCAAAGCCAGGGCGGGCTCCAGCACCTTGGCCGACCCGAACTTGTAGGATGGGTGCTAGCATTCACCAGCACGCTTCCAAGCGGCCTTGGCGCCGCGGGATTTGTAAGTCTCGTTGCGCTGAGACTGCAAGTAAACCGGCCTACCATCGGTAGTGCAACTGCCACAGCTACCTCAGATGATTGCAAATCTGTCGTCAAAGGCGGTGCCATCGGAGATAAACAACGTGTGACCCTCAGGGTCACGAAGCAAGTCTCTCAGCCGCCACGCTCGGAGTCCAGGGCACCTCCATTCAGGAGGCCTGCCTTCCCCGCGGCGCCTGCCGAAGCACCCCTGCACACCTCCCGCGGCGGGAGGCGCGAGCGGACCAGGCCCGCTCATGAGGAGAGGAGAGGGCGAGGAGGAAAAGGGCGACAGCAGGGGCCGAGGAGGACAGGGCGAGGGGGGGGGGCGGAGGGGCCGAGGAGGAGTCGGGGGCCTGGGCCTGGCGGGGGTCGGCGCGCCCCTCCCCCGCAGGGGGGGGGGGGCGCCCGAAAGGCGAGGGGAGGCGGGAGGATTACCTTGAGGTCGGGCATGTGCCCCTACAAGCGGATTCGGGAGGAAAAATTAAAGACATCCCCTCCCCCAAAAAAAATCGTCCCCAGACTATTGTTTGACGATTTTTGGAGACTCTCCTGTAGAGGGACACGCCCGACTTGAAGAAATTACCTTCCAGCGCAGCCTCCCCAAGCACAGGTAGTGTTGCACACGCGCGGGAGGACGAGGGCAGAGCAGCTCCCTCCCAGTTCCCTGGGTCTGCGCGGTGGGCGCTGCCGCCCAGAGGGGTGAGGCCGTTCCCTGGCGAGAAGAAGCACGGCCCTGGCCGCACATGCGAGATGTTCACGGCGGGCCTTGGTTTCAGCAATGACAGCTTCTGGTTCCTGGTTGGACGGACGATGATGGTTGAGGGCGCCTTTCTGCGCAGCAGCCTCCGCTGCTGCGCTCCCTGCAGCAATTCTCCATCCCTCCGAACCCTCAGCCAGGCCGTCTGGATCCACGTGCGCTTTGGCCTTCACGACCTCCGCACTAAGACCTAACACGAGCAAGCACGTGGATTCCTGCATATAATGACCTTTTTTATTATACAACCTATAAGCGGGCCAATGCGTCACAGTCTCCTGGGAAATCCGCAATCAGAGTAGCATACGTAAGCAACGTGCTCCGCCGCAGGGCTGGACAGGCGAAGCTCACTGCCAACTCGGCCACGATACGTAGCCCAGAGCTTTCCACTCGAAAACAGAACTGCGAATCCCCACCCTGCAGAGAACACAATCCTGCGGTCGTCCTTGAAAGCACGCCCGTCCGAGAAAACATCTCCCTGGAACGCGTCAGTAAGGGGAACCGCAGGATCCCGACACAGGAAGGCCCCATCACAGTCTCCGAGACCTTCAGGAGAGATGAGGGTGAAGGGGCACTCAGTCTGGAAGCCAAGCATCAAGGGGTGACGGCCCATGTCTCCGTTCACTATCCCCCATATCTGCTCATCCGTCTTCTTCCTGAGAGGCTGGGTGAGGGACCAGTGTACAATTCGGTGGTGTAAGTCATCTACAATGTACCCACATGCACAAGTCGTCTCTGCAGCATGTCCTGCCCGAAACAATCGGGTTTTCGTCCAGTGCTGCTGCAGAACGAAGGAATTAAGAGCCTCCTTCTCACCAGAGTTCAAAGGAGGACTTCTCACCACAGAGATTCCTAGCCACCGACATGTCCAACTCAGCACATGCTGGTAATTGTAGCTTCACGGCAGCGCTGCGAGACAATATCAATATCCATACGACTCGGAAGGCGCATTGTAATTTTGGCAGGAGGTGGAGGTCAAGATCATTCGTTTCCCATTCGAATCAATCAGGTCGAAGGAGATATCGAATTTCCACCCCACACGTCCAAGAGACATCAGAGCTGCTCTAAGAGGTCCTCTGACTTCATTCCAGTAGACGGGGGTGTTCGCAAAGATCGGGGCAACGAGCTCGAGGAGCCTACGAAGATTCCATCCCAGCAGGGATCCCGAATGGATCTTCCAAACACTCATGGACCAGACGGTGACCGGCCCAAGGGCGAGCTCGAAGGCGGAGGCATAATAAAACAGCAAAGCCATGGAACGATTTATAGACATGGTGCCAGAACATCTAGTCTTCAGGAAGTAATTATGCGCCTGATGCAGCTCCTTCCCGTCCAGTCCCACAACCTCTGCACCATAATATCCGAAGAACCTGAGACCACGTACATATGTTCCATTCTGAGCTGTCTCCGTAGAGACCTCCCGTTGCGCCTGGTCGTTTTCTTCTGCAGGTTCGCGAACTTGTTTTTCAGAGTGGGTCTAGCCCCAGCTCAGCACAGACGTCAACACCGAGGTTTTGGGGCCCACGGCCGTATACACCAGCATGCTATTACACGCTCTGAAGTTTATTGAGCAGAGCGTCCGAGGAGCCAACAGTCGCGGTTGTCTTGGCAGCAATTTTACACAGTAGTTCAGGTTCGACTATTCAGTGCAGCTCAGCAGCATCTAGGACCAGATTGTCACCAGCTTGCTTTCTTCTTCGTTGCGCGTGCCTTGCAGCATGCAGTCATCGATGAAGAGATGCACGTTTAGCCCAAATGTTGGACAGGGCCTGGGACAGCTTTGCCAGGGATTCTATGGAATTACTCTGCACGGCCCACGTTGAAAAGAAACATCCAGCCGCACGCAATTGCCATCGCAACGCTGTCCATTCCAAGGAATGTGTGCGCCTGGTACATGTGAAAGACCACAGCTAGCAATGTCGCCCAAGTCAGGTGACGGTCGATGTGGTGATAGTAAATGTCCATGTCATACATGACTGTAACAGTATGTTGTGGCCGTTTCATGTGGTTGGTGTCTTCCGAAACCAATCGATGTATCAGAACCAATTCCAGGATAGAAGTCCTTATTTGATGAGCTATATTATCCAGAGGGTTCGCCCGCTCCCAGTCACGAGCGATGTTCGGCCCAGCTTTTCCCCAGATTCGGTGCACCGAGGGCCCCCCTGTATTTCCCGAAACGCTGCACGAACTTCAGGGCCTTCTATTTAGCCACTTCGGGAATCATCCCTGCATGCATCGCCTGCATTCCGGTAGGGGACCGTGCACCTCCACACACGTCACGCATTTTGCCAGGATTTCGAGGGCCTCATTTCCAATCAGGCCATAGCGCTTAGGATGCATTCCATCATACGTGGACGAGGCTATGTGATTGCAGGTCTTTATTGCTTTCAAGTCTCCCCTAGAGGGCTGAGATAGAGGCAAGTCATCGTCACATTGCCAATGTGCTAGCGGCTGGTCAACGGCATCCCATGATCCGTGAAGCCAGTCTACCTCTGTTGCGAGCTGATTCCGTATGCTGCCCTTTCCCATCCCCGCTCTTTTCTACCTGATTGGGGGCCCAAACATTCCTCTCATTGGTCCACTTGTGGACCCATCCAGGGTTGCATTCACCATGTTCCACATCCCAGTCACGCCGAGCTTCTCTGCCTGATGCCTTGTCATGTCCCTTGCCGAGGCCAACACCCGATGCACGCCCACGAGGTAGGACTCCAAAAGCCTTTGAGCATTCTGAACGTGCTGGGCTCGCCTGTAAAGCCAATCAAGGCAGGAGCATTGCTGGCAGGCGTCTTGTCCAGTCAGGTCACGAGCAATTAAAGGGATAAGTGCATGGTCGTTCTCATTAGCTTCAGCAATGCGAATCACCGAATTATTAAAGCATGGTTCTGGTGCCGCGTAAGATTTCCAAGACAGCTTGACTTGCTTCGCTCTTTCGGCCACCAGGGCCCACATGATCTCAGTACCCTTTTCCTTCTGAGCCTCCCACTTCAAGAGGGCATCTGTAACCCGAGCAACCGTCTTCACACACCTCTTGATAAAAACACGGGACGGGACGTCCAAATTCGTCTCTTTGTTCCTGTAGTTTGGTGGCGCCCTCGGCCCCAAAGGGGCCTCTGCGCAACCTTTCCCCGACATTTGCCTCGTAGGGCCCTTTGAAGGGCCCTCGCGTTGCTGCAGTGCTGCGTGCCCAGGCGTGGCCTGGTTCCCATGGGTTCCCGAACCGAATGGATCCTTCCCTGGCTCCTGCTCCAACTTCTCGATTGCCTCTCTCACGTCATGCCACGCAGCACTCTGGTTGATTGGTCCGAAGGGTAGCTTCGTTGGCGTCCTCTGACTCTCACAAAGGACTGGAACTTTGAGTTCTCCTTCCGCCATCGAAACGACCGAAGCAGGGTGATGAGGCGACAGCTTGTGCTGCACATCTACTTCCTCCTTGTATAAATCTTCGCCGAGGACTTGAGACACCCAGAAGTAGTCGATCATAATCTCATTCTTCGTAGAGTCGCATGTCACGGCCGAGGGACAACGAGTACAGCTCGAGCTCTTTCCAAGACACCTGCGCACATGATCCGAGAAGGTTTTACGATCATACAAACATTTGGCACCCATGCGTTGGCATTCACCGTAATCGCCTAGAAAGCCCATGAGGGCCTCTGGGTGCTAAAGGGACGACGGGACGGCAACGGGGAGCGGTTTCTGGGGCCTTGGGGTGGGTGGGAGCGCCAACACGGCACCAAAGGCTGCAAACCCTCCGCTGCCTGACGCACTCGACGCTCCCTCCCCCAAGCCTGCTCCTCCCCGTCCTCCGTGTGTCCGTCCCCATCCTGCTCCTGGCCCCGCTGCAGCAGCAGGATCTCCAGCGTGCTCACCACCCTGGCCATGAGCTGATTCGCTCTTCTCCAGGCCGCCGAGATGGGCTGGAATAGATGGGGTCGGGGGATCGCGTCACATCCCCGCCTGCTCTGACCCCATCTGTGCGGCTCCCGCAGCCCCCCCCCTTCTACACTCAGTACGCTAAGGAAAGGTTTTCGCGTTTTTAATGGGCTGGGAGGTCCTTCCCGCGGTTGTTCCTCAAGCGCCCCTTGCGAACCCAGGCGCTTTCTCGGCGGTCAAGAGGCTTCGATCCTCATCTGGCGCTTCTCCTCATGGTAGCAGCCTGACTGCGCTACATTCAAGACATTGAAATACGGACCACCTGAGGCTCAAGAGGGGATCCGGTTGTCGGGCCGTTCCTTAGATCGAAGTCTGGGAACCTCTTCGAAGCCGAGGCTCGCCGTGGCCAGAAGATCCCCGTCGCTCCTCATTCAGCGTCCCTTCCAGTAACACGATGACTGCATCTCCTCCGTTTGTTTGCCCGTCCCGGTCCGAGGATGGTGATGATGATCGTGGTGATGATGATGTTGATGCTGATGGTGATGATGATGATGCTGATGATGATGCTGATGATAATGATGATGATGATGATGATGATGATGATGATGATGATGATGATGATGATGATGATGATGATGGTACTGGTGATGGTGGTGATGGTGATGGTGGTGGTAGTGGTGGTGATGATGATGGTGGTGATGTTAATGGTGATGCTGATGATGATGCTGATGATGATGCTGATGATGCTGATGATGATGATGCTGATGGTGGTGGTGGTAGTGGTGGTAGTAGTGATGGTGATGATGATGGTGGTGGTGGTGGTGATGCTAATGGTGATGCTGGTGATGATGTTGATGATGATGCTGATGCTAATGCTGATGAGGATGATGATGCTGATGCTGCTGATGTTCATGATGCTGATGCTGATGATGATGATGATGATGATGATGTTGATGCTGCTGCTGATGATGATGACGATGGAGATGGTGATGCTGATGATGATGTTGATACTGTTGATGGTGATGACGATGCTGATGACGATACTGCTGATGATGATGATACTGATGATGATGATGATGATGATGAGGATGAGGATGAGGATGATGATGATGATGATATGATGATGATATGATGTTGATATGATGATGATGATGACGATGATGATGATGATGATGATGATGATGATGCTGATGATGGTGATGGTGGTGATGGTGATGGTGATGGTGATGGTGATGGTGATGGAAATGGTGATGGTGGTGGTGGTGCTTCGATCCTTTTCTAGCGCTCCTCGCCCCTCTGTCGCGCCCCGGGCGAGGAACCTCGAGGAGCAGGCGGCGATGGCGTCGCAGTCGCAGGCGCGGGCTCGCCTCCCGACTTGTGAGGGTTCCCGTCGGGGGGTCGACGACGACGACGGCCGACGACGACGACGAAGGACGAGGACGACGGACGACGACGACGGACGATGACGACGGACGACGACGACGACGACGACGACGACGACGACGACGACGACGACGACGACGGACGACGACGACGACGACGACGGACGACGACGACGACGACGACAACGGCGACAACGGACGAGGACGAGGACGAGGTCGACGAGGGGCTGGCGGCGACGGCGTCGCAGTCGCAGGCGCGGGCGCGCCTCTCGACGTTGGATGGTTTTTGGTTTGTTTGTTGGAGGGGGCTCGAGGGCCTGACTCCTCTTTCTCCGCTCCTGATCACTCGATCTTCCATAAGTTCCATGTCGAGTTGATAGATGTCCGATTGCAGGTCGGCAGCTATACCTTTCAACTTTGCGTGCGCCATGCGTCGCTCACGCCGCACCAATTCATGGCCCGCCAAGGGACGTGCGCTTCTCGTCCTCTTGGGCTGCTTAGTCCAACCGGTTGTGGCGCCGATTGTCTCGTGTGAGCTGCTGGCGCGGACCCAGTCGCAGCGAGTCCTGGCAGGAGCCACGAGTGCCCTTGCCCACTAGCCCACGCGTCCGTCAGGACGCATGGCCATCCCCGAGAGCCCTGTAGGGCCATTCCGCCAGACCCCAGAATAGCAGGGCTCATTTCGATTCCTCTGGTTCGATTCGATTTCCGTGGCCTCCGAGTCCGATTCGATTCGACTTCGGATTCCGATTTGGATTCCGAGTCTTCAATGCGGGTCTACTAGCCTGCCAATTCCTGCCGATTCGACTTTTCCGACTCGGCTGCCGATTTCCGCCGATCCGACTCGTTTCGATCGCCGATCCGATTTGTCGGTTCGATTCTGGGCTCTCCTGGAGCAGGAGATGTCCGGTTCCCGCTTGCGCCCGGTCCGGAGCAGCGCCCATAGGGGGGGGGGGGGCGGCACGTGCGGCCAGGACGCTGGAAAATCATGGGGGGCCCGCTCGTGGCAGGGGCGGGCCGTGGCCAGCAATGCCTCCGTGAACTGTGCGGCGCCTCGTAGGGTAGCACGACGACCGTATTCCCAGGGGGGACCGCATCGAGTCCTGATCGCCCATGCATCACCGATAGGGGCTCGACGGTCCACCCTGCCCAGGCACGTGCGGGCTCGCTGCCGGGCTCCTGCTGGTATCGCCGATCCATCGGCGATATATCGCCGACCCCGAGGGGTCGGCGGATTGTTCCCCTGGGCTTCCCCGATTGGGTCCGTCAGTTGCCAAATGACCTGCAGTATGTGTGGAGGAATGTTCCTGCCTTCTCTGTACTGCCTGAGCCACTCCTCTATGCTGATGTTTGGCGCGAGTTTATCATGTATGATTTGAATGCGTGGAGGGAGATCGTGTTGCGGATATTTTTTCACACATCCATCTGTGAATCGTCGTCGTCGCTGATGTCGTCGTCCGAGCATGGTAAGACGGTCGCAGCACTCCCTTCTGTTTGCGGTCTTTGCTCTGAGCGTCCCGCTTTCCTTACGAGTAAGGCGCTCAAGATGCATCAGAGAATGAAGCAGTCGTTACCATACGCTCCATGCCGGCGTATACGTACATATATGCATTTACTTGAACATTAAGTCGACCGATCGATAGTTGTGTGGGATCGGAGGGAAAAGAACGCGCGCGCCTACAGCACCCTTTATCGTTCCCCATTTGCTTAACGGACAGTCGAACCTCATACTTCTACAGCTTTCTCTGTCATCCTGGCCGCCATGGTCTCTCGGGAATCCTCGAGCCCAAGACGATCCTTGGAACCGCTACTAGGAGCACCGCACTTACTACCTGTACATCCTGATGAGATTGGCCCTGTTGGGCTCAAGTTGGGTGAATCTGGGTTATCAGCCGAAAGTTTTATTCCAAGGATGACCGACCATGTTGGTCATCTCGGGGCAAGTAAGATTATTTCCTCACAAGAAGAACAGAATTTGGGAAGTGACCTTGGCTCAACGAAGCCAGGAAAGTATGAGATTCAAGTCGACGGACCAAAGCAGTCGACCTCCCAACGCATCCAAGAACAAGAAGAAAATGACGGCGCCCCCATTAACCGTGGACGACAGGATACGCCGTTTCCTGACGATGAATCGGACGAAGAAGAGGGGCGGTAAAGGTCGCCCACGCAATCCACTGTCTGATGACGTCGCGCAAGCCTACGTCGTGAACTCCAGTTCGTCTGACGAGGAAGGTGATGTTAAGACTCCGAAGAGCAAGAAGGATACCTTCTCCATTTCGAGCTCATCGGAGACCCTCGAGACGTCCATCCTCGAAGTCACGCCGGCCAGGCACGCCGCGGACCATGCCCGACGTCTGGTGGGAAAAGCGAACCCCGAAGATGACGGTATCCAAACCGAAGACCCAGGGACCTCATCCGGGGGGGCCGCGGCAGAAGCACGACACGGAAACACCCCGAGAGAGGATCCGGCAAATATCAAGCTTTCCCCATACGAAAAGCGTCCAAATATTGAACCCGGTGGTTCGGGTGTCCATGACATACCCGTTCCAGTCCTTGGGGCCAGACCCCGCGGGAGGCAGCTCCTTGATTCACCGAGTTCAATCTCCCAAAGGTCACGGTCGGGAAAGGGCGGTCGCAGTCGCAATTCGAGGGGGTCGTATCAAGGATCGTCCCTCTCGAGATCATCGGCGTCCCGTTTCATGATAGAGGAAGCCTGTGCACATCGCGGACCAGATTGTGCAGAAGGCCCGGAGAACTGTTGTCCGGGCCGTGCGTCTGACAATCGGCAATGCCTGAAGCCCGCATGTCGAGACTGCTCATTCCAATGTTCACTGTGTAACCTGAGCTACTTGTGTCTCGATTGTACGCCTCCAAAGCAACACAACTGATTTGCTTATAAAAACCACGAATGGGAGCAACAGCAGGAGATGAGGCAACATCAGCGTGAACAAGAACGCCTTTCTGAAATCGCAACCATGCGCTCGATGATGGCTGACATGGAAGCTAACAGAGAAGGCAGACCGAAAGGATCGAAACCTTATTTGGCAAATCGCACTCCGTATGTTTATATATTCCCTGCGTGAGACATGCTAGAGTTTAACTACCGGCTGCCCTTCGCGAGCGGGCCCTTTGTCACGGGCGGGATTGGACTGTGGAGGCGAGGTGGCGTAGGTGGAGGTGAGGAGTGGGAGGGGACTACATTGCCGACGTTTGCAGATCCAATACTTTATGCCTTCTCGGGTTTCGCCACTCTTCAGTTTCTCGTCGCACCTCCTGCGCCGCTTAGCCTGCACGGAGTTCATTTTACAGTCTAACCGACGCTATTGTACGCTCTGTCGTTTTGCAGGGAAGAAAGCAACAGCCTCGTCGCTCATGCTTGCCAGACGTAAAAAGGAGGAGGAGAAGGAGGAGGGGGAGGAGGAGAAATAGGAGGACCAGTCCGAACCGAAGGCTCATCAACGATGTTGGGATACGCCCTCCCTCCAAGCTCCCGCTTCATAGACCCCATACAAAGGGGTCATTTCCACTGAGGGAATGGCCCCGCTGGGGGACAACCGTGCGAAGATCCGGAGTCGTGCCAAAACAGCAATATCACGACCTCAACGCCACGAGTTAAGTTGACTGTTGGGCCTTGACGATCCTGAATCGTGCCTGAACACCATTCCTGGGATTTCAACACGGCGAATCAAAGTAACGGTTGCGCCTTGACAAACCTGAATCGCTCCAGAACGCCATTTCTGGTAAGCTGGCCATGAGAATCCGTGAGGCCCTTGCGCGTTTCAATGCGAGTGTGCGCGGCGCTAAAGCGAGAGCCACATTTTGAAATGGCCCGCCCTCAATCTGTGAAATCGTTGCATGTTTTTGTAACGAACACGCGCGGCGCTGAGACGAGAGCCACATTGAAACAACGGCCCGCCCTCAATCCGCGAAACCGCTGCAAAGTCTAATAACGAATGCGCGCGGCACGAATGCAAGAACCACATTTTGAATATGGTCCGCCCTCAATCCGTGAAACTCTTGCAAAATAACGAACGCGCGCGGCGCTAACGCGAGAACCACATGTTTCAAAAGGGACCGACCTAAATCTGGGAAGCGTTTGTACTTGTGTTGAACGAATGTGCGCGACGCTAAGGGGAGAGCCACATTTTGAAAACGACTCACCCTCAATCCGAGAAGCTTTTGCCATCGTTTTGAACGAATGTGCGCAGCGCTCTGGCGCGAGCCACCTTTTTTCAAAGAACCGCCCTCAATTCGCGAAGCCCTTGCAATTATTTAGAGGATTGTGCGCGGCGCTACAGCGAGAGCCATAGTTTGAAAACGACTCGCATTCAATCCGTGAAGCTCTTCCTAAATAGAACACGGATGCGCGCGGCGCGAAGGCGAGAGCCACAGTTTGAAAACGACCCGCCCTCAATCCGTGAAAACTTTGCAAATGTTAAAAACGAATGTGCGCGACGCTAAGTCAAGAACCACAGTTTGAAACACCCCCGCCCTCCATATGTGAAACAGTTGCAAGTTTTAGACCTTCACGTTCGTAAGTGGTAAGGAAGTCTCAGACGAAACGCCCGGCCCGCCCTTCCGACTGGCATCAGGGCGCGACAGGGAGGAGTTATTCATAAGGAGAAGAGCAGGGGAGGAGGTGGAGGAGATGGAGGAGGAGGGAGGAGGATGGCGACAACGATGACGACGAGGAGCAGCCGCGCGGCCAGGGGTCTTCCGTGGACCCACGGCTCGCTTCCCAGAGCAGGCCCGGGGGCTGGGATGGGTTCGGCTAGCTGCGCGCGGGCGTCCGCCAGGCGCTGACAAGAGCGGGGGGGGAGCGGAGGCGAGGCTGATCAAAGGCCAGCAAGATGTGTGTCCATGTGCGGACAGCTTCCGCCCACCAGCACTAGAGCGCGGCATTCGTGCACGCGCGGTCGCGGAGGGCGCACATGCAGATGTCCAGGAGCGGCCAGGAGGTGGGTGATGACTAGGGACAAGGGTGGGTGGAGATCATGGCTGGGACTATGATACCTCCCCAGATATCATGGCGCCTCTTCGTACTGCAATACGACCCGTGGCCCCCCCTGGCCGCGCACATGCCTCTCGCCATGATTTGCCACCCCCCTCTATTGGACGCCCCCCTCTTGGACGCCCCCGAGATATGCCGTTGCCTGCTCAGAGGATGTCGAGGGGGCGGGCGAGGTGGAGAGTCGAGGTCGCCGAGAAGCGGTTCTGGCATGACGATTTTCTGTGGTATCTTACGATCAGGAATTTGGGCTTCGCGTGTCGCGCCACCAGTACTGGTCCACCATTTTTGGACGTGAAGCGCTATCCACGTCGCGGTCCCCGAGCATCAACGTTCCGAGCCTTGGCCAGCCTCCCGCCTGCGGAGCGAAGCGACACGCTATCCGCTCGCAAGGGGCCGCCTGCGCGACGCGCGGAGCACGAATTTCCGACCGCAGGAGTACCTAGCGTTCCCATTGGTCTCATGTTCGGAGCTCGAGCCTGGTGCTCGACGGATGCTGCGGGCTGAGTTGCCCGATGGTAGTGGGATAATCGCAGACCCTATGTCTGCTAGAAGCTGTCGCAGAGAGACTCGTCATTAGGATCGGCAGAAGAGTTGGGACGACGGCGGCGACGGCGACGACAAGCATGATGGACGATGGCGATGCTGGTGATGCTGACGATGATGCTGATGCTGATGATGATGAGGAGGAGGACGAGGACGATGATGATGATGATGATGATGGTGATGGTGAAGACGGCCACGATAATGATGACGATAATGATGAGAATGATGATGGTGGTGATGATGATATCGATGCTGATGATGGTGCTGATGATGGTGATGCCAATCGTGATGATGATGACGACGATGATGCGGACGATACTGATACAAATGTTGGTCATTATGATGGCTATGCTGATGATGGTGATGGTGATGATGATGAGGACGATGCTGCTGCTGCTGCTGCTGCTGATGATGATGATGATGTCAGTAACGATGATGATGATTATGATGATGAAGCTTATCATGATGATGATGATGGTGATGATGGTGATGGTGATTGTGATGATGATAATCAACATGATAATGAGGAGGAGGACGAGGATGATGATGATGATGATGGTGATGATGATCACGATGCTGATGATGACGATGATGATGATGATGGTGATGGGGATGTTGATGATGATGATGATGATGATGGTGATGATGATGGTGGTGGTGGTGGTGATGGTGATGGTGATGGTGATGGTGATGGTGATGATGATGATGATGATGGTGATGGTGATGATGATGATGATGATGCTGATGATGATGATGATGATGATGATGATGATGATGATGATGATGATGATGATGATGATGATGATGATGGTGGTGGTGGTGGTGGTGATGATTGACGCCACGATTATGGTCCAGAACTTTTAAATAATGTGTTGATCTGCCAGTTTCGGCCCACGGCGCTTCGGCGCGTCATGCTATCCACGTCCCTGTCTCAAGCCGTCAACGTCCCGAGCCCTCTCGAGATTCCAGGCCCGCAGAACGAAGCGACAACCCAGACATCCGGCTGCTCCAATTTTGTCGATGCGTGGGCCCCAGAGATCCGGACCATTTCCCTAGGGCCAGCTTTTCGTCCTGAGTCGTTTTTCGACGCGCCCGAGTCTCGGCGAGGGTCCCGGGAGGCCGAAAACGGCCCAAAACCGCCAACTCCAATTTTTTCTGAGCGTCGGATCTCTAGGAAGGTATCCGCTCGCAGGGCGTAGCGTGTCGTCGGGGCCGCCGCGGCGGCGCGCTGAGCAAAAGTTGCCGGCCGTGTGCGGGCACCGGCGGCGACATCCTGGTGATGTTTAGATTGTCGCGCTTCGCGCAGAGGCGCGCCGAGGAGCTGCAGGGAGTGAGGCAGAGTCCGAAGAATTGCGGCGACCTTCCGCGCAGCAAGGAGAGGCCCAGAGATCCAACGTATTGAAACAATAGGGACGGATGTGTTTCGCCCTTCTCGGCCTCTAGAGGCCCTCGCTGGGCCCCCGGACCGTCAAAAAACGACTCAGGATGAGAAACCGGCCCTGGGGCCCCGCAATGAAAAAATCACGACATTGGATCTCTGGGGAGAGGGGCTCCGCTGCAGTCGCAGGGGGTCGTTGTGAAATCGGTCATTCCCCCCTGCCCCCCCATTCGTCCCTTCTCATCCTCCCCCTTCACGAGGTCTTCTCGAGGTTGTATAAACAGGTGGGACCAGACAGGGTGGACCACACGGTTCAACCCTCAGGCCACCTTGGACCCCAAGACTTTATGGGTTTTCGCAGGAGACATGTTGACTTTAATTAGCACTCGTGTCCGAAAATGAACGCATGATTTGTTGTTCGATGTAAGGTGGTTCTAATCTAGTTCGGGGACCCCGCCGTGCTAGGGCGCGTCAGTCAGTACCCCCCCCCCCCCAGACCGCATTAGAGGGAGCGTTGGACCGTTGGAGTGCAGCTTTCGCTGCCCGCGCGCGGGGCGGCGCGATCTCGGCGGACGCCAGCTCTCGCTGACGGAGGCCTCGGCAAGCACGGTAGGAGCGCCAAGCAAGAACCCAACCTGCCAGCAGGTGCCCCGAAGAACTGTCTTTTCCCCCAGTGGCCCTCGGGGACCCACCAAGGCCCATTTCGACCCGATCCGGTCCGATTCGATACCCATTCCGGTCGGCCCGATCCGACACGATTCCGATATTCCGACGGTCCAGTGCGGCCTAATGTTTGAATGGCGTTGGTGTTCATCTTGGCGCAGACGAATCGGTTGGATTCCAATTCCGTGCCGATGCGGCCCGATGCGACGCACATATCGATTCGATCCGATTTCTCGATTTGATGCTGACTGATACTGCAGAAGAGATGAGGCAGATTGGCAGCAAATGTGTCCCCCCGGAGCTCTCATAGCCGGTGTTATGACTTCTTGCCGGTACATCTATCGCAGTGCTCGAGCAGTGTCTTCCTCGCCCTGCCTCTTGTACCCGGCAGCGCCAGCGGCACCTCCCCGGTGCAGGTGCCCCTCAGGCGCTCCCCGATGGGAGCGGCTCGCGAGAGCACACGCAGCTCTCTGCGAGGGCCCCTGCCGGTGGGGGGGGTGGTCTGCCATCCATGGTCCGTGCCCAGTCCAGTTCACCACGTTCTCCCTCGCGCGGGCGAGGTTGGCACACGTAAGGGTGACCCCTCGCCAGAGCTGTGTTCGGTGCGCGCCCTCTGGTGCCCCCTGATCGATCTTACTGCGATGCGACAACAGCAGCGGCTGGCGCGCTTGGGTTTGCCCCCCCCCTCGCCTCCCGAAAGCCGCGCACCTGAGGTCACTCTTGCTCGTGGCCAAGCCTGTGTATAGCCAAGTCTTCGGCACACGCTCTTGAGTTTGCCCTCCACCTTTTTGTTCTCCGAGCCGAGCCGTTCTCCTCTCAGCCTGCATTATATATCCTCCTGCTCCTCCTCCTCCACCTGACCCAGGGGTCTTGCCTCTGTCACACGCGAGTGGGAGGCACTCCAGAGCGGGCATGACGTCCTCGAAGTCCAGCGTATCCTCTGCTTCCGGGACGGCGGCTAGGCGCTGATTCCGGAGGGGAGGGATCAGGTTCCAGTAGGTATTAACCTCCTCTTGCTTGCTCGCACACGATGTATTTAGGGACGTACGACAGCCCAACAAACATTTCATCAGTAATTCTTCTGGGAGAATATACCATGTCCCTCCGAAGATTCATATCACGAGATATGGCTTGTGGCTTTTAGTCGGAGCAGTCGGTCCCATGGCTCTCAAAATGGACACCGCTCTGCGCCAAACCGCATACAGTATCATACGGGATGCGCCTTCGGTTCGGAGTATAGTCTGTTCCGCCTGCTCCGCGGATTCGTAGTACTGGCGATGCAGGATCGCTATTTTCGTTCACCACGGGGATTTTGACTCTACGCTGAGTACGTTAAGTCGACTTCGAAGTGCCAGCAGCTCTCAATTTGCACGTGTGATGCGCGCAGCCTTAACAACCGATGAGCCGTTCGAGAGAAACGTCCGATACGAATGAAGCGGCGTCCCACCGTTGACATCTCGTCTCCAGCTGAATTCAGCTCAACGGAGTTACCATAATCTCAAACAGGATTTCATGAATCGCTGGGTTTGCTCATGAATTGGTCGGCTTTGGCGACTTCGGGATTGTAGTGGCCTCCGGCCAGTGGCGCCGATCCGGGGCGTTCCCGACGCTGTCGAAGACTCCGACGACGACGATGACGACGACGACCGATGACGACGATGACGATGTGAAATGACGAACGACGCGGGCCGGGACCGGGGTCGCGCCCGGGGCCGCGCGCGCCCGGAGCGGGGCACGGGGTCAGGGCCGAGGCCAGGGCCGCGGCGGTTGGGGCCAGGGCCAGAGCTGGACCGGAGCGGGCCAAGGCCAGACCAGGGGCTGGCTGGGCCGAGGCTTGGGGCCGAGCCCGGGGCCGGAGCCAGAGCTGGGGACGGGGCCCCGAGGGCAAGGCCGATGCCAGGGCCGGGCCGGAGCCGGGGGCGAGGGGGCCCGGGGCCAGGACTCGGGCCGCAGCCCGAGCCCTGGAAAACGGAGCACCAGGCGGAGCGCAGGGACCGCCTTTGCAGACACCCCCGTGCAGAGCGGAGCTCAAACGAAGCTCGAGCCCACGCTTGCTCGGCGTTTGCGACTTCGGGATTTTGATTGAAGAGACGCATCTACATGATGCGTTCCAGAGAGGGCATCGCCTTCGAGGATCGAAGGAGTTGTCATCTCGTCCTCGGCGGAAGGCGGCGGAGATAAAACGAGGCCGCCTCCGCCAGCGTAAGCTCGGCGGAAGCGGGCGGAAGTAAAAACCAGCCTCCAAGGAGATGAAAACGTTTTGGGGCTAAGGGTTTCCGGAATCGGTCACATACACACGCGTGTATGTGTGTGTGTGTCGCCATCGGTTTCGACATCACGGTCGAGCTTGGTGCAGGTGTTTGGCGCTCGGCCGTCACGATGATCACGGCAGAGAGCGTCTTTGCCCCCAGCACCCAGCCGTTGAATCGCTCTTCAGTGCGAAGGCAGTCCGAGTTTATCTCGCAGTGCAGAGATGGAGGTCCACCGAGCTGTGATATCACAGACAAGGCACAGTTCGAGTCTCCAGCGAGGGCGGCACCTCGGCCACGAGCTGACATGGCACAATCACGCTTCTCACGAGGACGAACCGACCACAAAATTAGTTGGACCAGGATCCGTACTCAAGTTGCAACTATGCCTCTCCTCTCTCTCTCTCTTTCTCCCTCTTGTTTTTCGTGTGTGTCTCTCTCTCTCTCTCTCTCTCTCTCTCCCTCGGATGAGCTCGTCCTGCACACATGTCGGCCCACTTGTGCACAATACTTTCTGGGCATGGGTGTGGTGGTCTTTTGATGTCGCAGTCGTCTGCTGCAATATCGTGGCAGTCTGCTGAGGCCTCGCTCATGCCTACTCCTCCTTTGCTCCTCTTTTACTCTTTCCCTGACTCTCCATTTGACTGTCCGTTGCGCTGCGTCGCCTTCGGCATGCTCCTGTTCTACGCCTTTCGGGCGCAGCTTCCGGATCTAATCCTTGCAGACCGACCTGTTCCACGAGCGCGGGGCCCCCCGAGCCCTCGACGCCGTCCCGGGCACAAGCTATTCATTGCTGGCCGTTGTTTGGTGCTGTGCAAGGGCCCGAAGTTGGCCCAGATCACGTGGCCACGTATGAGAGCTTCAGTTCGACTCAGAGAGTCCTTCGGGTCATACTGGCACTTGATGTAGTGGGGTTTAGGGGTTGCTCAAGTGCCTTTTAGTGGGACATACTTTATGGAAAGTTGCGGGGTTTCATTGGATTCAGTGAAGTCGCAAGTGGGATTTTGTAGTTTTCGTGCGGGGGGGGACACTAAGTCTCACTGGCTAGGCGCACGTGCGACTAAGTGAAGCTCCCATGCCTACCCATAAGCCCAGAGGCCTAGGGCTTGGACAGACTGGCCGTCGCGACTTGCTGTCAAGACAGCCATATCCACCGCCTGGGAAACCGATGTCCTGGGAAGCCGATGTCCACCGACATGTATTGCAAGAGTAACGCATCTGGGGAAAAGCGGCTGATTGACAAAGAGTTGGGCCAGGCCAAACATCAATTGACGACTCACCATGGGCATCAGCTTGCAGGGTTCATGGGGAGCTGCAAAGCCAAAAGGACAGCAGATAGAGATATGTGGCTAGCGCTTGCCCGCCAAAGGAAGCAAAACACAGCACAGGAGGGAGTAATGCATAATGTGGGAAGAGATCGAGGGCAATACCAGCATTTGATCAGAGATGTTCCTTGGCAATGGTGAATTTGGGCTTCTCCTCTTTTCGGCCTTCCGACGCTCCAAGAAGGCGGTCTTCTGGGCGTTCGAAGCCGCCTGGGAGGCTCGAACATCGTCCCACGACCATCCGAAATGGCTTCCAGGCAATCCAAGAAAGCCCCTAGGCGGCACAACAGGGCTCCAAGATCGCCTAACAGAGCCCCATGACGGCACAAGATGGCCCCAAGACATCCTCCGAAGCATTCCAAATCGTGACCTAGACGTTCAGGGAGACCGCGGTTGGAGGCAGGGTGGCCCGAGGATGCCCCCAGAAGACTCCCAGGAGGCCTCCAGAAGGCCTTGAGAAAGCCTGAACAAGTTGCGTGAGGCCCCCAAAGGCTCTCTAAGGAGGAGCCTCCGCAAAAAGGGCTAAGGAGGATGGGGAGGATACGCAGGGTATGGCGAGAATGAGAAAAAAGAGGAATGGAGGAACGATCACGAATAACATTATTAAAACGGCGATGCCGGAAAAGGCAACAAGGAGTGATCGCTAGATTGGCAGCTTGACTTTCGTGCCATTCCGCCTGCATGCCAAACTTTAAGGACCAAGGTGCATAGTGCGAAATGCCGATGTACTATTGGATGTATCTGTCTGTGTACATATGTATGTGTAGATGCATGCGCACCTACCGATACCTGTACATATATATATATACAAACATCCATAATTACACATGCAGGTGTGTGTATATATATGCACATACAAATACATATACGTGTACATGTACATATACATTGCAGATGCATGCGCATATACATATACATGTACATATGCATACACCTAGATGTAGGCACAAACACACACATATATATATATACATATAGATTGTCCTGTCCGATGTTCTCGCTTCCCTCCCGGGGTCGGGGCAGGAGCGGTTTTGTGGCGGCGCGCCGCGGAGTCTCGGCGTCGCGGCCTGGAGCTGCCGCAGGGCCCGCGGGGGCGGGGGCGGGGCCTCCGGGAGGCAGGGAGGGCAGGAGGGACGGGCATGCCTTGCTGGCGGCGCTCACCAAGGGGGTGGCGCGAGGGGGCGGCCTTCTCTGACGGCGGGAGGGCGGCCTCCATCCCTCCTCCTCCTCCTCCTCCTCCGCCTCCTCCTCCTCCGCCTCCTCCTTTTCCTCCTCCTCCTTCTCCTCCTCCTTCTCCTCCCCCTCCTCCTCCTCCTCCTCCTCGTCCTCGTGCTCCTCCCCCTCCTCATCCTGCTCTTCCTCCTCCTACTCCTCCTCCGCCTCCTCCTTCTCCTCCCCCTCCTCCTCCGCCTCCGCCTCCGTCTCCTCTTCCTCCTCCCCCTCCCCCACCTCCTCCCTCCTCCTCCTCCTCCTCCTCCTCCTCCTCCTCCGTCCCTTTCCTGAAGGAGGCGGGGGGGGGGGGGGGGGGCGCTTTCAGGAAGGCAGGCGGTTTCCTGGAAGCCCTCGGGGCATCCAAGAAGCCCTTTCGGAAGCCGCCGTGCCCTGCCAAGCAGGCCCCGGCCTCCTCCCCTCGCGCCACCCGCTTGTGGGCGCCGCCAGCCCAGGGATCGGGGTGCAGTGGCCCAAGCCTCCTCGCGCCGTCATATAAATCGGAGACGGCAGGTGTTGGGCAGTGTGCGCCCCCTGGGAGGGCCGGCGGGGCCTCGGCGCCCTCAAAACCGGCTCGCGATAAGAAGCTTGTCTCGGGGAAGGTGTGCAGACTTCTGCGCGCGCTGTGTGCGACAAAAGAAAATTGCGTCCGCGATCAGGGTAACGTAGCGTGGGTCAGCTCTAACGGTAGTCAGCCAATCCCTCCTGGCCGACTTAGTTCGAGGAGCCATGTGGAGCCGACCCCCCCCCCCTCTCCCCTCCCTCCGCTGACACGGGTCTGGGATCTGCTAAGCGGCCGGCCTGGGTTCGCGATATGGTTCGGGCTCTTTGGTTGACCCAGGTGACGGTAAGCGCATAAGATAAAGATAAGGAATCGGCTTTCCAGCAGGTGCCCAGCGAAAATATCCGGGGCAGCTCAGAGCTTCCAAGCATCGATGAAGCATGTGCCCAATGTCTTTTTTAATAAGTTATAAGGGAGCTGTCATCGACCCAGCAGAATGTTGCCCCAAAGCAGTGCTTGCAGTGAGGGGTTCTTGGTTGTGTTCGAGGTACCTGGCCATGTCTCGAGGGGTCGGCAGCTCGCGCGTGGACTGCGCGTGGACTCTGATGGCCCCCTGCGCTGTCCGCGGCCGCTGCTGCGAGGACCCATGTGCTTGGATTCTGGGTCGGCGGCGAGCCCATGGGG